AGTGATGGCTAACCTTTTTGCCATCGCATACCAGGAAGGGGGGGGGGGTCGCGCGTGCACACACCCATAATTTTATGCGCCCCGCCGCCCCACATGCATGCACCCCCCCCCCCCCCCGCTCCCAGCATGTGATGGCCCGTTTTTCTTTCTCACCTGGCTCCAGAGCCTCTCTATGAGTCTGGGGAGGGCGAAAACAGCCTCCCCACCCCCTGGAAGCCCTCCGGAGGCCAGAAACAGCCCGTTTCCCAACTTCCGGTTGGACAGGAAGTGACGTTTTCTGCTGTCTCCAGCCTCCAGAGACTCCTAGAGAGGCTCTGGAAGCTGGGGACAGCAAAAAATATCACTTTTGAACACCATAAGTTCGCCATTTCGGGGATAGGGGATAGGGAGGGAAGGGAGAGGAGAGGGAGGATAAGATAGGATAGAATATGATAGGGGATGGGGAGGGAAGTGAAGGGATAGGGGCAGAGGAGAACAGAGGGAGGATAGGATACGATAGAATATGGGATGGGGAGGGAAGGGAAGGGGTGGGGCAGGGGAGGAGAGCAGAGGGAGGATAGGATATGATAGGATAGGGGATTGGGAGAGAAGGGAAGGGAAGGGGAGGGAGGATAGGATACGATAGGATAGGGGATGGGGAGGGAACGGAAGGAAAGTGAGAGGGAATGGAAGGGGAAGGAGAGGAGAGGGGAGGGAGGATAGGATAGGATACAATAGGATAGGAGATGAGAGGGAAGGAAAGGGAAAGGAGAGGGACAGGAGAGGAGTGGAGACCAAAGGATAGGAGAGGGGATGGGGAGGGAAGGGAAGGGGAGAGGGGGGAGGAGACTTTGTTCAGCCAAGCGTGATTAGCCACACAAGGAATTTGTCTCCGGTGCAGAAGCTCTCAAAGCCACACGCAAAGCAACAGAGTAAATAATTAATTATCATCATGATACCAATACCGATGTTCTCACGTTAGCTTTTACGCTTTCATTGAGCCGAATTCAGATTTTTCTATTTCATGCATTGGTAAACCCCTTCCGGAACGGGATTCGTTAAAACGCAAAGCTTATTATCAACATCTTTTGCTTTGGGTTTTTTGTCTTTGTGTCTATAGGTGAACAATTACGTTCCAGGAATCGGCTATCAGATTTTTGGCAACGTGGTCTCCTTAATCCTGGGATTAACACCGTTCGTATTTAGACTTTCCCAAGAAAAAGACCTGGAACATTTAGCTACGCATACGGCCACCGAACTCTACGCTATTGCCTTCGGGTCAGATGGAAACATAATGGTGATCTCCATGGTCATCGTGTGCTTCGTAGTGCGTGTTTCCCTGGTGTGGATATTCTTCTTCCTTTTATGCGTGGCTGAGAGGACTTACAAGCAGGTGAGCCTTAGCACCAAACTCCCCCCTCTCCACCAGTGGTGAATTCCAATTTTTTTTTACTACCGGTTCTGTGGGCGTGGCTTGGTGGGCGTGGCAGGGGAAGGATACTGCAAGGTCTCCATTCCCATCCCACTCCAGGGGTAAGGATACTGCAAAATCCCCATTCCCACCCTACTCGTGGGGAAGGATACTGCAAAATCCCCATTCCCTCCCCACTCCAGGGGAAAGGATACTGCAAAATCTCTATTCCCACCCCATTGCACGGGAAGGATACTGCAAAATCTCCATTCCCTCCCCACTCCAGGGGAAAGGATACTGCAAAATCTCCATTCCCTCTTCAAAGAAAAAACAAGAAAATCCAATTGCTTCCTGAAAAAGCACCTTTTGGACATAATGCAGGAAAGGTTTTTCCCAGTGGTGAAATCCACTTGGAATACTGCATTCAGTTTTGGTCGCCACGATGTAAAAAAGATGTGTAGGAAGATGGACATCAAAAGAGGGAGAAAGAAGAGGGAGTCAAGCTATTCTCCAAAGCCCCTGAGGGCAGGACAAGAAGCAAGAGATGTAAACTAATCAAGGAGAGAAGCAACTTAGAACTAAGGAGGAATTTCCTGACAGTGAGAACAATTAATCAGTGGAACAACTTGCCTCCAGAAGTTGTGAATGCTCCAACACTGGAAGTTTTTAAGAAGATGTTGGATAACCATTTGTCTGAAGTGGTGGAGGGTTTCCTGCCTGAGCAGGGGGTTGGACTAGAAGACCTCCAAGGTCCCTTCCAACTCTGTTGTTCTGTTCTGTTCTTTGCACACACACACAAAAAAATCCATTTAAATATTGGTTACCTATGTCAGCAATCCATTCTTGTAAACCCAGGCCTTGAGTTAACCCATTCTTTATGGTTGAATAAGTATAAGTAATAAAGAGCCTTGGTAGTACAGGGGTTTAAGGCACCCTGTTATTAAGCTGGTTATTAAGACCAGCTGCCTGCAATTACTGCAGGGTTCGAATCTCGCCAAGGCTCAAGGTTGACTCAGCCTTCCATCCTTTCTAAGGTAGGTAAATTGAGGACCCAGATTATGGGGGCAATAAACTGACTTTGTATAAATATACAAAAGGATGAAGGCTATTGCTGAGCACATTGTAAGCCGCCCTGAGTCTTCGGAGAAGGGCGGCATATAAATCAAATTAAAAAAAAAAAAAAAATTAGCACAAGCAGATCCTTCATGCCTCTTTTGATGTCTTGGGAGATTCCTAATATTGGGGATCTAACAAAGAAACAAGCATCCTTAAGACGCAAGAATCAAGTAGCGTAAATAATTATGGTTGCATTCTGCTCGTCCACCTGGGTGACAATAAACAGCGTCATATGTTTCATTTCAAACTCTTTATGTTTTACAGAGATTGCTTTTTGCCAAACTTTTTGGTCATTTAACATCTGCCAGGAGAGCTCGGAAGTCAGAAGTTCCACATTTCCGGTTAAAAAAAGTCCAGAATATTAAAATGTGGCTTTCCCTTCGCTCCTATCTAAAGGTTTGTGGTTATTTATTTATTTCAACTTCCGCCTAAATTAATGCCATATAGAAGGCGCTATTGATGCAATTGAGGCTTAAACTTCTCCCCTGTTGTAACCTAGGCTTCCTGAGTCATTAAAACACACGAGTAGTACCAAAAACCTCTTTTATTGCAACAGCTGTGAATTACGTTCATTCACAGCTGAGTCCCAATTAGTTGCAAAAAGTCCTTCGGGAGAAGTCCTTCAGGATAATCACCAACCTTTTTCTCCCTTGACAAGCTGCCAAAGACCTACTTGGCAAAGCCACACGGAGTCCAGAATCAAACAGAGATGCCGACTGGGAACAGAATTAACAACGTTGCTTTCCTGCATAGGGCCCACGTGCCTTTGCTCCTCTTTTAAGCCTTATAGGAGGGGCCAATCCTCTCCAGGCCTTACTCCTGAGTCGTCCCTTTAGTTTTAACTGTTCTTGCCTTCTGGCAGCTCTGCGCATGCGTGCACTAGGAACAGGCTCCTCCTGTTCCTCTGCCTCTCTGCTGTCTGACTCAGGGGGTTCCGGAGTCCGTGCATCACTCCCAGATGGCCCTGGCCCCATCTCTGCCTCTGACACAGAGCCCTCATCCGGGCCTTCACCAGACTCCAGGACTGGCCCATGTTCCTCCCCAGCCTCCTCACTGTCTGACTCCGCTGACAGCTCCGCAGGCTGCTGGCAGACCACAACATCCCCTTGTTTCCCCCCCCCACACACACACAATGCAGGTAGTTGTTAAGTCACTTTTGTCCCATTTTACGACCTTGCTTGCCACCGTTCTTAAGTGAATCACTGCAGTTGTTACATTAGCAATGTGGTTGTTAAGCAAATCGGGCATCCCCATTGTCTTGGCTTGTCTGAAAGTGACAAACAAAAGGGGATCATGTAACGCAGTATTCAGCCGGTTTGGACCAGTTCACCCGAACTGGTAGTGGAAATTATGGATGGGCCCACCCACCTGCCCTGGCTCTATGCCATCCTATTTAGACACATTTTTGAGGCCGTGCACATGCATGCACGCAGGGCAAACCACTAGTAACATAATGTGAAACCCACCTCTGATGTGACCCCACCGACACTGCGACTGTCGTAAATACGAGTCACTTGCAAAGCGTCTGAATTTTGATCATGGAAAAGCTACAAGTGTCACAAAATGGCCACAAGTCACTTTTTTCAGTGCCGTTTTTATTTTCAATGGCCACTAAATGAACGGATGCAAATCCAGGATTACCAGTATAGAATTAAAGGCACAATAGATTGGAAAATGGGGCAAAAAAGGGGCTTCCTTCCTGCACTGGATCGACAGTGGCCAGACTGACGATGATGAAGAAACGATGCATTGACCCCTACAGCAATATTTTGTACGCACAAGTTACCACGTTGCTTGTATATTAATATGAGACCAGCTCAGCTCGTTTTCCAGGTTCTGTGACGGTTCATTCATCCATCCCACATTCACTGTTCTTTGTTTTTTTAATTTTCAGAGACGAGGCCCTCAACGTTCGGTGGACGTAATCGTTTCCTCTGCTTTCTTGCTGACCATTTCTGTGGTATTCATCTGCTGCGCACAGGTAAGGTACCTGATGAGAAACTGAATTCCTTCATGTCGAAATATCACAGTTAAGCAGCCTAGATCCCTGATGGAGAACCTATGGCATGTGTACCGGAGGTGGCACGCAGAGCACCCTCTGTGGGCATGCGCGCCATCGCCAGCTGCTGTTCTGGTTTCTGGTGCATGCAGGCCAGGTGGTATTTCCGGGGCTCCAGCGTTGTTCTGTCCCCAACCCCATGCACACACACCAACAGACGTTCAGGAGTTAAAGACCAAACCAGCTGGCAAAATCCTTTTCCTTATGATAACGGAATTTGGCAACAACCTAGTGGCTGCCTGCCAAGAGTTTATTATTTACGAAGAGGAGAGATAACTTCTCCCCACTTCTGGTACATCAAAGGAAAGCAGCTCAATAATTACAATCAAGTCCAGAGATAATCCAGTCTTAAAGCAAAAGTCCGGCAATGCAGAATGGCGTGGAAGCTTTCAGCTTTGTTCGTCAGAAGGTTTGACTGGCCACCACGCTCCCTTTTATATCCTGTGGGATGTGGTCCAGTGACTCAGCCTAATCTCGGGCACGCCTTTTCTTCTGTTGCACGCGCTTATCTCTGCGACACTGGCGTGGATCCAGCCAAGACTCATTACCCTCATCACTGTCCATCTGTGGCTGCGTGGACGTGCTTGGCCCTGGCCCTATCTCTTGACCTTCGGCGGACACCGAAGGCATTGCCAGAGAGGTGGGCCCTGGAGAGGGAGGCCTTGCCAAACTCCTCCCCTTCACTCTCGGAGTCCTCTCCTGATGACGACACAGGCTCTGGTAACGGAGCCACAACACGCGTGCGCAAAGATCAGCTGGCCGGCGCGCATGCATATGCCGGAAACCAGAAGACCAGGTGGCCGGCACACGCATGCACGCCAACCAGCTGTTCTTTGAGTTTTCGGGACTCCGGCGCGTGCACGCGCGTTCCAGTTTGGGCACTCGGTGCTGAAAAGGTTTGCCGTCGCTGCCCTATACCATTTCAGACAAGTGGCTGTCCAGACTTCTCTTAAAAACCTCCGGGGATGAAGTACCCGCAACTTCTGAAGGCAAGCATCTTTATTTCTGATGTGCCTTTAAGAGATTTGAAGGAATCAGTCAGTCAGAAAAGAGCTGGAAAAGGGACCTTGGAATCCTCTAGTCCGGGGGTCTGCAACCAGAAATACTCAAAAGAGCCATTTGGACCCGTTTCCCACAGAAAAGAAAACACCGGGAGCCACAAAACCTGGGTGGGCGTGGCCAACTCGATGCCACTCACTTCCACCAGTCACAAGACCTCCCCCCTAGCCACGCCTACCAAGCTGGTCATTAGGGCAGAGAACCAGTTGTTAAAAAACACCAGGAACCACAAAATCCTTTTGACATATCTCTCTCTCCCCCCTCCCTCCCTCCCTCTTCCCCCCCACCTCTCTCTGTATCTCTCTATGTCTCTCTCTCTCCCCCTCTCTCTGTATCTCTCTGTCTCTGCCCTGGTTAATTGCCCTCACTGTCAGGAAATTTCACCTTAGTTCCAAGTTGCTTCTCTCCTTGATGAGTTTCCACCCATTGCTTCTTGTCCTGCCTTCAGGTGCTTTGGAGAATAGCTTGACTCCCTCTTCTTTGTGGCAGCCTCTGAGATATTGGAACCCTGCTATCATGTCTCCCCTAGTCCTTCTCTTCATTAAACTAGCCATATCCAGTTCTTACAACCATTTCTTCATATGTTTTAATCTCCAAGCCTTTAATCATCTTAGTTGCTTTTCCCTGGGGAATTCTGGGAGTTTCCTACTACGGACGAATGGTTGCAGAAGTTGATGGAGTTGGCCGAAATGGCAAAACTGACCATTTTGATTAAAGAAAAGAACATAAGTACTTTTGTTTCCACCTGGAGACCACTTCTGAACTTTGTGCTTGATATTGTTGTGGCTCCGTTACCTGAGCCTGTGTCATCGGCAGGAGAGGACTCCCAAGAGTGAAGGAGAGGAGTTGGCAAGGCCTCCCTCTCCAGGACCCTCCTTTCTAAGGGCAATGCCTTCGGTGTCCACCGAAGGGCAAGAGATAGGGCCGGGGCCAAGCACCTCCACGCAGCCGCAGGTGGACAGTGATGAGGGTAATGAGTCTTGGCTGGATCCATGCCAGTGTCGCAGAGATAAGCGCGCGCAACAGAAGAAAAGGCGTGCCCGAGATTAGGCTGAGTCACTGGACCACACCCCACAGGATATAAAAGGGAGCGTGGTGGCCAATCAAGCCTTGTGACGAACAAAGCTGAAAGCTTCCATGCCATTCTGCATTGCCGGACTTTTGCTATAGACTTTGCTGGATTATCTTTGGACTTGATTGACTCTGTAATTATTGAGCTGTTTCCTTTGATGTACCAGAAGTGGGGAGAAGTTATCTCTCCTCTTCATAAGTAATAAACTCTTGGCAGGCAGCCACTAGGTTGTTGCCAAGTTCCGTTATCATAAGGAAAAGGATTTGGTCTTTAACTCTTGAACGTCTGTTGGTGTGTGTGCGTGTGGGACGGGGACAGAACAGATATGTAGAAAAATGAAACTCTGACTTTGGGTTTTACTGATTAGACTGATAGATCTTTATACGGAGTGGTGCAGTGGCCTAGAGGTGGAGCTCTCGCCTCACAATCAGGAGGCTGTCAGTTCGATCCTAGGTAGAGGCAGATATTTCTCTCTCTCTGGCCACAATGAGAATATATCTGCTGAATATAACTCCGCGTTGGCAACAGGAAGGGTATCCGGCCATTAAAAGACTCGGCTCCATTCATTTGCCCAGACTCCACCCCTCAAGGGATTATGAGGTCATTAAACGATGATGAGTGATAGATCCTTATAAAAATGGCTTGTTCATATTATTACGGAAAAGCAAAAAGTTGCGATTTGAGGTTAATGCCTTATTTTACTGTAACGGAGAGAGTCTTAAAACTTTTTCTTATTTCATCAAGCTGGCCTGGCCTAAATCTTCTCCCCTTTTAAATATAAATTTTAAATACAAATTTTAATCTGTTTAAATTATGGGGTATTTTAAATTCAGCCAAATTATTTAATTCATTTTTAATCTATTTTAAATTTTTGTATTTCTATGTTTTTATCTTCTGGCTGTTCACCGCCCTGAGTCCTTCGGGAGAAGGGCGGTATAGAAATTTAATTAATTAATTAATTAATTAATAAATAAATAAATAAATAAATAAATAAATAAATAAATAAATAAATAGAGGCAGATATTTCTCTCTCTCTGGCCACAATGAGAATATATCTGCTGAATATAACTCCGCGTTGGCAACAGGAAAGGGTATCCGGCCATTAAAAGACTCGGCTCCATTCATTTGCCCAGACTCCACCCCTCAAGGGATTATGAGGTCATTAAACGATGATGAGTGATAGATCCTTATAAAAATGGCTTGTTCATATTATTACGGAAAAGCAAAAAGTTGCGATTTGAGGTTAATGCCTTATTTTACTGTAACGGAGAGAGTCTTAAAACTTTTTCTTATTTCATCAAGCTGGCCTGGCCTAAATCTTCTCCCCTTTTAAATATAAATTTTAAATACAAATTTTAATCTGTTTAAATTATGGGGTATTTTAAATTCAGCCAAATTATTTAATTCATTTTTAATCTATTTTAAATTTTTGTATTTCTATGTTTTTATCTTCTGGCTGTTCACCGCCCTGAGTCCTTCGGGAGAAGGGCGGTATAGAAATTTAATTAATTAATTAATTAATTAATAAATAAATAAATAATAAATAAATAAATAAATAAATAAATAAATAAATAAATAAATAAATAAATAAATAAATAAATAAATGTTCCTTTTTCTTTTCTTTCTTTTTTCTTACCTTTCCTCACTTCTTCTTCCCCTTTTCCTCCCCCACTGCTTTCCTATTTTACTTTGTAATTTGTGTTTTACATTACTTGATAACTCAATATAAATGTTAGTGAGGGAATTCTGGGAGTTGAAGTCCACACCTTGACAAGGTTGAAAAACACTGACGTAGATAATAGACCTTAGAATGTCGTTTGCTTTGCGTGGATCACAACCACCAAGAAACATGAAGCTCTGTCAATGGCTAATCCAGCGACGGGAAGGAATCTTGCGTAGCATTAACGTGTGACGTTCACAACTGTTTTCTCCTTAATTACAAATTCTGTTGAATTTGAATTCCACTTGGTGGAACTGGTCGAAGGGCCAGGGTGATTTCTCGTAGCCCATTTCTATAAAACCTGTGCAGATGAAAGAAGTTGGAATCTCTTACTTCCAGCGGCGGGTTTGGCAACGGAAGTCGTTGATTCGTGAATTTTATTCGGTGAAAAATAACTTTGGCGCTGATGGACAATTAACTTTTTTTTTTTTTTTTTTTTTGCCTTACCTTAGCTGCTTCACGTCCATGCGGTCTTCCTTGACTGCCATTATAACTGGGAACTGGTCATATGGTGCATTTCATTAACCCTTTTCCTTTTGAGATTTGTGACGCTCGGATCCGAAACAAGCAAGAAATACAGCAATACGTCCATATTGCTTACTGAACAGGTGAGGACTTTCCTGGTGTGGTCGGAAAAAAAAAATCCCCTCAAGACTTAGAATAACTTGATTGTCACTTTAAATGTACGCTAATCGGCATACCGTTAAAATGAAATTTTGCTCAAAGGGTCACCCTCTCCAATATACGCTATATAAACATGACAAAATAAATAAATTATGCAAGTACGCATAATTTATGCGTATATTCTATAATGCAGAGAAGCAACACAGTCTAGTTCTAATATATACATGTACCTGGCCAGAAAAACAAATCTTGTGAGTTTACCGGACGGACAGCGTAGGGAACAAAGCTGTTAAAGAATCTGGTGGTCCTGTTGGAAATACTTCGAAACCTCCTTCCAGAGGGGAGCAACAGAAAGAGCCCATAAAGTGGGGGTGTGGAGTCTCTAACGATGCTTCGAGCTCTAAGCACATAGCACTTACAAGCAATATCCTGAATGACAGGAAGTGAGCGTCTTATACTCTTCTCAGTTGTCCTCACCACTCTCTGTAGGGACTTTCTATCTGAGGCACTGCTGCCACCAAACCAAACAGAGATGCAGTTTGTTAAGACGCTCTCAATCGTGCCTCTGTAAAAAGTGGCCAGGACAGAAGGAGAAAGATGTGCTCTCCTCATCCGACGCACGAAATGCAGATGTTTGGATGAGGAGAGCCTGTCTTTCTCCCTTTGTCCTGAATCCCTGACTCACTCAAAAAACAGTACACTGCAATTCTGTTAACAGTAGTTAACTTTTGGAGAATCAGTTGGGTGTAGTGGGTTATGGCTAGTAACAGGGAGACCGTGAGTTCTAGTTCCACCCTGGGCACAAAGTCAGCTGGGTGACTATGGGCCAGTCATTTTCTCTCAGCCCTAGGAAAAAGCAATGGCAAACCACTTCTACAAATCTTGCCAAGAAAATAACAGGGACTTGTCCAGGCAGACTCTGTAAATTGAACACGATTGAACAGAAGGAAGAAAAAGTTAATTCTGAGTAGATATGCAGAGGATTTGATAGAACATTTAAAAAAAAAACATATTCAATTTGATCTTCATTTAAGGTTTCGACAAATAGGAAACTGAGAATACGGTTTATCTATGGAAATTCATAGTCATCCAGGTCTGTCCCAAAGGTATTTTTTCAAGAGGCAAATGGACTTTTCTTTGTTTTTCCTTGAAGACGTTTCGCTTCTCATCCAAGAAGCTTCTTCAGTTCTGATTTCTGACAGAGCTTCCGACAGAACTGAAGAAGCTTCTTGGATGAGAAGTGAAATGTCTTCAAGGAAAAACAAAGAAAGTCCAGTTGCGTCTTGAAAAAGCACCTTTAGGAGTGAATAACTAATTTTGATGCTCTGTCCTTGAAATTCCTTTGGAATTGCAGTATCTTATACAAGTACCAAAGGAAAGACTTTATTAAAACCTTTATTAAGCACATCAGCTCATTGTCTTTTGTTTCATCACTTTACCGTTCTTTGTAAAACAATAATTGTCAGACCTGTCTGACTGTAAAAGTTAATTTAATTTGGTTCGTCCAATTATACATTGCCCTGAGACTCTTGGGATGAAGATCCGGTTTATGGGTTGTTTATATAAATAAACATTTTAAAAAGATGATAACGAAAGATAAACACTATCTGTCAACTCGCAAAGCATCCCTGGCCTGCTCTCGAGTTGCCATAGGCAAGGGGGATGGGAAACTAACGAAGCAGCACGGCAGCAAAAAACAGAAGCACATTCCAGACATATTTCTCTCAAGGCTGTCTCCCAGGGTTACCTACAGCAGCCTGAGGGGAGTGATCTGTACAACCCGTTGGCGAATGTGATTGATGACACACCCTTGGGGGAGGGAGGAAACAGGGTCATGATTGAGGTGTAAATTACATGGGGTCAGAGTTGCCTTCACCTGGAACGTGCCAACATGAAGCTCCTAAAAAATAACTGGATTTCTTTTGAAGCTTGGCTCGAGGCTCATGATTTAATTATAGCATCCGTCGGAACCCTGACACTATCCTTGTTTAAAAAAATACACTACTCAAGATGATTGTTTGTGTTAAATGACACCTGTTTCTCCTCCCTGGGTTAGATAAACTTGTACTTGAAAATGGAAAAGAAACCGAACAAGAAAGAAGAGCTAACATTGGTCAACAATGTCTTAAAACTCGCGACGAAGTTATTGAAGGTAAGAATTTAAAAAATGGAAACGATTTTGGTAGTGATAAATAGACCGATCACTCACAGATAAGGTTCCTTTTGAGATTGTGATCTCATTCCCCCCTTTGTGTTCTGCCAGTTCTCGGATTTAAACAATTTTTTTAAAAAAACTTAAATTCCGCCATTTCTTTTGCAGAAGCGTGCCAAAATTTTTTAATTTAACGAAAAATTAAAATCCATAACCACCAGTGAAAAAAAGAATATTTAAATAGCACTGGTAGCTTCTCGGCTTACGACCGCAATTTTCGTGGCTAAGCAAGACAGTTGTTAAGTGAATTCCATCCCAATTTACGACCTTTCTTGCCATGGTTGTTAAGTGAATCACTGCAGTTCTTAAATTAGTAACAGTTGTTCAGTGACTCTGGCTTCCATGTTGAAGGTCGCAAAAAGTGACCATAGGACCCTGGGACACTATGACCGTCATAAATAGGATCCATTTGCCAAGTGGCTAAACTTTGATCACATGACCATGGGAACGGTCATAAGTGTGAAAAACAGTCATAAGTCGCTTTTTGGAATGCCGCGGTAACTTCGAACGGACACGAAACGAATGATTGTAACTGGTGGACTAGCTGCATTTCTTCCAATTAGACCAGGGGTGAAATCCTACCGGTTCGGACTGGTTCGGGCGAACCGCTAGGGATTATTGGCATCAGTTCGCCGAATCGGTAGTGATCACCCCTTGTTCGCCCCACCCACGCCCGGCCGGTCGCCGCTCACTTCTTCCGGCCGCTCGATATTCCACAGAATTCAATGTTAAATGCAGCAGAGAGAATGCTAACTTTTCTCCCTCCATTCAGAATGGAGCTATTGCAGCCTGTCCCTTTAAGGTAGTCCCCAGTAGGGAGGGGGTCGGGGGCGGGAGCAGCTGGATTGGGGACCGTTTTCGTGAAAGGCAGAAAAATGGGGAAGGGGATTTTCCTGCCTGTCACCCATTCCTCAATCTCAACACAGACTGAGGGAAGGATGGTAGGCAGGAATATTCCCCTCCCCATTTTCCTGCCATTCGCGACAAGGAGTGGCTGTGAGGGGAGGGGCCGGTGAGGAGCCCCTCGATGTGAGTGATGTCAAGTTGGCCACGCCCACCCAGTCACATGACCCCCCCCCCCCCCCAATAAACCACACCAACAGAACCGGTAAGGGAAATTTTCTAATTTCACCACTGAATTAGACCATTTGTATTTCTTCCATTTATATGAGGTAAATATATTTCTTCTTTCCAGGAATTGGATAATCCCTTCAGATTATACGGATTAACAATGAATCCTCTGCTCTACAATATAACACAAGTTGTTATCCTGTCCGCCGTTTCGGGCGTAATCAGCGACTTGCTCGGATTTAACCTAAAGGTAACTTTCTCACTTTCTCACTTTCTAACCCTTAATTTATCTTTAACTTCTGTGAATTTTTTTTTAAGGCAACCATGATTTCATTTATAAATGTTAAAATTGACTATTATTTTAAAAGCATTGATTTGTTTCGGTCCCTTGGACCTCTTCTTTTCTGAGTTATATAAAACTACAGTAGGGGCCAAAATTGTGGAAAACGTTTGGGAAAAGTGTATTTTTGAAGTTTGATGGCTAATAATGCCACTTTTTGGGGGGGAGTTTCAAGATAATCCTATTCCACTGCTGGAATGGTTGGGGAATAGCCCAGACCTTCACCCAATTGAAAATCTAGGGAGCCGACTAAAGAAACTTGTTAGTCAGAAGCGACTCAGCAATAAAACCCAGTTAATAGAAGCCGTCATTCAATCTTGATTTCACATGATAACAGCTGCAGAACTCAAAGACTTGGTTCACTCCATGGGAAGACATTTTAAGGCTGTAATTCATGCTAAAGGTTACCCAACGAAGTATTAACTGATGTAGGGATCATTTTTGTATATCTCGTTTTTTCTATGGGGATCATTTTTGTATATCTCGTTTTTTCTACCTGTTTCACTTTTCTTCTTTATAACTGCTATTCTACAGTAATAGTAAATCCTTCATCAAAGTTATTGCATTACATTCTTGATTAAATTACCTTTCCATTGATATATAATTTTATGGCACTACTCCAAAAAAATAACGGTGTTATTAGCTAATTTTAGAAAATACATTTTTTCCCCAAAACGTTTCCACAATTTTGGCCACTACTGTATGCCGGCAACCATTGCATTATGTTAGGAAATTTCTTTTAATTTCAATCCTAAATATTCGTATCAATGTCTGGACACAAAGAATGGTATTCCAGAGCCCTGGCATAATTTTATTTATTTGTTTGTTAATTTAGTTGCCGCCTGCCTCGCTTTCAGGCTACTGTTACAGTCATAAAAAGGAAATGAAAGGCATGTAAACAGCAGTAAAATAATAGAACTCATAAAATCAATGATAAAAGGAACACGAGAATGAGATGGGACCGGTTCAGGCTTGAGTAAGCTTCAACTAACACGGGCAATGTGCAATTTATTGCAATTTTATCTGCAATAAAAAGAGCTTTAAGTGGAAGCCGTTATCTGCATCCTTCGAAGCTGTTAGGTAATAATTGACTGACTTAAATGATTGATCAGCTTTCAGTTTTGTCAGACTTTGTGACAAGTTTTTTCCCCCCAAGTGTGGCTTTGAAAAAGAAAGCACTTTTCTCAGCATAATTGTAGGCTTGGATTTTTCTATTGAGATTGTATTACTCCCTCAACTTGCATTTTTGATAGAAGGGAATATTTGTAGCTCGGAATTGAATGGTGGGGTCCTTTTGGTGTTTTCTTGGTGATTTTCTTGCCAATGTTTCATTACCTAATTAGGTAACATCATCAGTGGTAGAAGGGAATGGGGTTTGTGGAGAGGAGGAGGAAAAGGAAAAAGGAGAAAGGAAAGAGGAGGAGGAGAGAGAAAGAAAGGGAGGAGGAGAAAGAAGAAAAAAGGAGGAGGAGAAAGGAAAGGAGGAGAAAGGAGGAAAGAGATTTGCAGAGAGGAGGAGAAGAGGAAGAGGAGGACTGTGGGGTCATCAGTGCTCTCTGAACTTGGTGGTTTTCTTGCAGACGTTTCATTGCCCAATTAGGGAACATCATCAGTGCAGGACCGAGCTTACCTAGTTGGGAACGAAACATCTACCAGCGCTATCAGAGCAAGCCACTAGTATAATGGGAGAGCAAACCCTACTCCTTTACTAGCACTGATGAGGTTACTTAGTTTGGTAATGAAATGTCTGGAAGAAAAGCACCCAACTCAGAGAGCACCAAGGACCCCCCAGCGAGCAAAATTTGTTCCTTGCAAAGTTTCTATCATCTTGGCAAAGGTTCCCACCCCACCTCTAACGCCAGAGGAGGACAAATACATGATAAACGGCGGAATGATGATCCATCTTTGAGTTTACCACCGTTTTTTGATTTCAGCTTTGGAAGATCAAATCCTGACCCTCTTCCAAGACTGTGGATGCCCACGTTGTGCTGAAGAAGACAACTGAGAAAACTGAACTGCCTCCGCCGCAGCGGATTCGCAAACTCTTTACGGACATCCTCGGAGGGAGAGAGAGAGAGAGAGAGAAAATATATATATACAAAACCCCAAAGTGTTTACAACTGACAGTCTAGTGCAATCTGAATATTTATTTTACCTTTTCGATTTCTTCTTCTTCTTTTTTTTTTTTTTAAGGAAATGTTCGTTTTAGCTGACAGTGTGTTTGGTCGTGGGTCCTCAACGGGCTTTTGTTGCCGAAAGGGTCAAAAATATATATGTATATATATATATATAAAATATACATATTTTATATATATATCTAAAATGGAACTATCTCGATCCTCGAGATTCTGGTTGTGTGTCCTCTTAAAACGAGTCAAATTGGCTTCATGGATTTGTGAAAGAACGAGGCCACTTTTAAGCTAAAAGTCGTTCTTGTTACAGCAAAGTCGCGCGGAAGTCACTTTATCGAATAAAGTATTACCAAGTATTTAGAACGTCTTTATCTACCGCCCTTGAGAAGACGGGCGTCGGCACACCAGCATATTGTCCCTTACAGTGGAAAACTACGCTTAACTGTAATGACAACGCGTTACGCCTGAGAGAGCTAACAGAGAGGAATAAAACTGTTTTGCATCAATGCAAAAATCCAGCAGCTTTCTTAACTCAAGAGATTCCAGGATCCATATGGGAACTGTTGTTTGAACATGAACCAAATTTCAATAAGGTGTTACTGAGCAAATCAACAAGTGCTCTTTCACGATGTTGTTGTTATTATTTTTTTTTAGCTGAGCAATAATTGTAAACTGTTACTACACTGTAAGATATTTTGATAAAAATTAGCTGTAGTATTTATTTGAAAACGTGGAGCTGTTTGGCCAGCTCTCTGCCGCTCAGTATGTGCACTTTTGTGGTTTTAATAACTATATATATATATATATATATATATGTGTGTGTGTGTAAAACAAACTATTCTAAAAATACGAGTTCCAGGTATATTAGTAAAGAAAGAAGCAGACATCCTGCGAGCTCCAGAACTTAAAATTTTAAAATAATTAAAATTTTATTTTACCAAGTTTTCATCAGCCATACTCTGATGATGTCAGCAGATGGCTGACAAAAGCTTAGTAAAATAAAATTTTAATTATTTTAAAATTTTAAGTTCCGGAGCTCACAGGATGTCTGCTTCTTTTTTTACATATATATATATATATATGTATATGTATATGTATATGTATATGTATATGTATATGTATATGTATATGTATATGTATATGTATATATGTGTGTGTGTGTGTGTGTGTATATATATATGTATATGTATATGTATATGTATATATATGTAATATATATATGTGTATTTCTGTTTAGCCAGGTTCTTCCTACGTAAACCAAGATTTTTATGTAGCCCTAGTTCAGTAAAATCACAAATACTGTACCTTTACAGGGAGGATACATGGGATTAGGGTGTGGCTAACTGATGGGGACTAATAAGTCCGAAATAGATCTATCTTAGTCTCCTCAGTCTCCCAATGGTCACCAGGGTGCTTGCTGGCTGCCTGAAAAAAGCCTAGAAAGTAGTGGATTGTGATTTTGCTGAACTAGGGCTGCATAAAAACCTTGGTTTGCGTAGGAAGAACCTGGCTAAAGAGAAATACACATAAAGGCCTATAAAAAGAAAACAAAGCAAATATATATATATATATATATATATAAAAATTAAACAGGATATATTATGGTGCACTGTGGGGTGATAATCTTGCCTTCACGATTGGGCATAAAAACTCTGTATGCCAGAGGTGGGATTCACTTACCTTCCTTCCCGGTTCGCAAATGTGAGCGCACGCGCCACTTCTGAGCATGTGCACGGCCTTTTGCACATGCGCAGTAGTCGCGCACTACATCCGGGTGGGTGGGCGGAGCCTCCCACAGTCGCCGCTACCGGTTCGCGCGATCCGGACAGAATTGGCTGAATCCCACCACTGTCTCTATGCTCAACCCGAACATTTTTCCCCCCTAGTACGCTATAGTATATGTGACTTATACCACACAGAGGCTTTAAAGTGAACTTCTTAATAAGGTGTATGTTTTAAATTATAGGATGAAACGCCGGTTTTTCCCACCCTGTTCTTAATCCTTCCCAGCGTACTTTGGAGTGTGCATATTTAAAAATCAGACTGCAAATTTAAAAGCTTCAGTTTGAAACTGAAAGCACAGAGAGGAAAAAAAAAATCTTCCTTGTTTTCAAATATACGAGAGACGAAATTTATTCCCGGAGCAAGGAAGAGCCATTTAACTGGGTTTCCTAAATTCTTCTTATAAGCAATTGTGGATTATTTTTAGGAAACATCTTTCTTGACGCACCGCCCCCCCCAAAAATTCTTCAATTCCTGAATTCCCTCCCCCCTCCCCAAATTCCCAATTTGCCTCTTTGCTCAGGAGGAAGTTACACTATGCTGAATTTCCCAGTGTACTTTTTGGAAGTGAGTATATTTAAACATCAGGCAGTCTGACCGCAAATTTAAAAGTTCCGATTGTGATCTGAAAAAACAGATTTTCTTCCTTGTTTTCAAAAAAGAAACAAAAAAACTGAGCATAAAATGACAGGCTAAATTTATTTCTGGTTCAAGATAGAACCATTTAACTGGGTTTCTATAATTTTCTAAAGCTATGTATAGGTTTATACGTGTAGACAGTATTAGTCAGTTTTGGCTTTAGTGGTAATATTAGTAACTAGTGGTTAGTTATGCAGTGAACAAGGGTGAGGCCTATAATTGAGTTACCTTGATATAATGTGTACAGCCATGATCTATTCGGGCGGGGGGAGGCCAGAGAAAATGCGAGTTGTGGGCACGCAGAGACCTCTGGATTTCTGTCGTTCAGTAGAGCGGCCGACATGGCACGCACAATAGTTGCTTATGACAAACTGCCACTCCGTGAAGGCTTTTGAGTATTTGCTGGAGGGCAGCCGGGATCTCAGGTGAAATTCACGGCCTCTGCATAAAAGTCCATCCGAGTCGGGCAGCTATACCAAATTTGAATCAATAAAAAACTTAAATTATCGGGTTTACAGGTTAGATTGGGGGCGTCGAACTCAATTTCGTTGAGGGCCGGCCGCATCAGGTTGTGTTTGATCTGGGGGGGAAGTGTGAACACAGTGACCGTGGTCAGCTTGACATCATTCATGTCAGGGACGCCTGCGGTGGCCCAAGAGCTCTGCCAGCGAAAACGGGCTCCCAGTCTCCGTTTTCGGCTGGGACTGCCTCCTGCAAACTTCTCCGTGAAAACGGAGCCCCTCCCGAGCTCTGTTTTCAGGCCGCCCCAGCCGAAAATGGAGATTGGGAGCCCATTTTCGCTGGCAGAGGCACTGCGGGCCAGTCCTTCTCTGTTTCCAGGACGGCCCCGTTGCCAGATCTGGCCCGTAGGCCTTGAGTTTAAACACCCCTGGGTTAGATCGATCGTTATTTGGAGAAAAAAGATCAGTTGATTATTGTTTTTGTTTTTTTAAATCGGCTGAGAAAAAAGTCTTGATGAAAGTCGGCTTCCGTTATCAAATTGTAATCGAGCAGGCAAAAAAAGACCCCGTTGCATTACGTTGAATTGCATTTCTCAGCTGATCCCTTGAGTTTTAAGAGTTTTTAAAACCTAGTTATTGTTAAATGTAAGTAAGAGAAAATAATGGCGCTGAGCAGAAAGAATATGTAGACAGTCCCTTCCTCTGCAGAATTGTTACAACTTGATCTTGTGCGGTATAAGGTATTTTTATATATAAAGTAACGCAGACATTTTGTATTTTATTTGTTGCTGTACTAATGACCAAAGTACCTTCTGTTGTATTATTTGTTTATTCACCCTTTCCCCCCCCCACCTCAAAGAGAATGTGTTACTAGAGCTTTAACAACATGCAATGTGTAATTTATCACGTCAAATTTTGACACACACGTGACCTGTTCTTCTTTATTTGTGTTGTCTGATGTTCAGGTTATGTTTAGGAATTAAGTCTATTTTATATATGGTGTTTTAGTTTTGGTTTTTTTTTTGTTCCAAAATACGGTACAGACCTACATAAAAAGCTAAATTTTACAAAGAATATATTTTAAAGAAGAAAAACAAAACAAAACTTTAAGAACAGTATGAACTTGAGGATGAATAGCGATCAGAAATCATATTCCATTCTGCCTTACCATTTTTTTAAAAAAAAAGAAAAGAAAAGAAAAAAAGAATAGATGTTTTCACAAGGAAGCATTTTGGGGTGTTTTTTCTTTTTCTTTTTAAGTATCAAAATTCAGAATATGATCTCATTTGAAGGCAGCGGTTTTGAGTTTTGAGCAACAATTTGATGGCAAGTGTACCATAACTCTTCAATTTAGTGGTATGTTGGCTTGTTGCACTAATTATGGTTAGCATTAGCAAGACTTAAGCATGAAGGCTACCAGGTAGGAAATGCGTACTTCACAATAATGACAGGTTTAAATTGTGCCATTGGTATATCAAACCTACAATTGAGAAGCTAAGCATATCTTAAATATCCTTTTATTTGAGAGAGAGCGGTAAGGAGAATATGGCAAATGATATTTAATTGTTGTTGACGTATGTTTGTAACCGACAATGTGCTGAAGCTTGGAATAAAATATGTGGCTGATGGTATAATTCTGAGTATTCCTTTGTGCGTTGTTTTGTGTGTGTGTGTGTGGTTTTTTTTTTGGCTACCAAAGTTTTCTTGTCAGGCGTGAAGTTCCGATTAAACTGATTTATTGCTGAGCAGCCTCTGGATAGCATTCTTCTAATAATAATTAGAACTAGAAAAGAACTCGAACTAAGAACTAATTATTAGAAGTTAGAGTTAGATAAGGGTCCAAAAGGAAAGTTGGATTTTGTTTGTGGCTACATAGGGATTCTAGGCTGAGCCCTCTTTTGACGCCGCCCCCGGTTTCTGCCACTCCTCTTAAATTTCCTCACAGAAGTTCTGTCTTTATTCGGATTGGTTTGGATCTTCCTTGTTTTCTTTAATCGCCGCTAAAAGTCTTCGCGCACACCACCAGGAGACTATCTTATTGTCACTTTTGAAAATGGAGACTTCTTCCGACCCTCCAGATTTCTCTATAGCAGGGTGTCAAACTCGCGTCGTCACGTGACATATCGTGACTTTTCCCCCCTTCGCTAAACCGGGCGTGGGCATGGCCCGCGCGGGACGCATCCGGCCCACAACTCGCGAGTGACACCTCTACTCTACAGCGACATTACATGGAGCCACACGTTTTGAGCATTTCATACAAATATTCCTGATGCTCTCTTACGCCAACCAGGGAACTGCGTATTGCGATGCCACGACACAGAATTTAGAAATGGATTGCACTAAGAAGAAATGACAGCATTAATTGCAGAAATAGATTGTCAACTGCTTAGGGACCTTACGCATTTCTCCATTTATTTCAGCTCTTGAGAAAAACATACCTAGGAAATGTCTTGTTTTCATATATCTAATAGAGATGGGTTGTTGTATTTTGGGTACACCCAAAACATTAATTGACACAAGTCTATTAACTGCTGGCAGGAAGTGTGTGTGGATGAAATTTAATCCGCGGCTCTGGAGCCGCATGTGGCTCTTTCACCCCTCTGCTGCGACTCCTTGTTGCTAGTCGGCTCCACAATTGATAGGGCTTTCGGTTAGGACAGGTAGAGGAAAAAGGATGCCGCACTAGGAGGAGACTCTATGGTGTGAGGAACCGACTTTGGACAACAGAGGAAAAATGACGCCACGCTAGGAGGAGACTATGATGTAGGAACTGGACTCTGGTCGGCTCCAGAGTTGAATGGGGGCTTCCGGTTAGGACCTTTGTGGCTCTTTGGGTGTTTAAGGTTGCCGACCCTTGATCTACATCCATTCAGTCTGTTTGTATTTTTGCCTTCAGGCAAAATTCTGAAGAGAAAAACAACA